ATGAATTTAAAATCCCGGATCGCGCACGGACAATGAACACCCCTGGAAAATTTCAACTTCCTATCTTGTTTGGTTCTCAAAGTTGTTTCCCAACAAATCCCTCTCAATTTCATTCAGGTGTTCTTACGTTAGATCTAGGCGTATGTGGAAGCTGATTTTAAGTTTACGGAATCGCATATGGTCCGGAAACACCTGCGTAATTTCAGCTTCCCAGCTTCTTTGGTTGCTGAGGTGAAAGTGAATCATAAAGTTTGAACACACATGCACACATACTACGCATACATATATATATATATATGTATATGTATGTATGTATATATATATAATATGCATACACAATCTCTCAACAATTTATGTTTTTATGATATTTCATCAGTGATCCAAATGCACCCAAAAACGAATGGACTTTCATTCGCTTGTCGTCAGTAGTTCGCGTATTTCAAATAAGTCTTTAAATTCTTCTGCAGAGGATGAATAAAATATTATTAGCAGACAATTCTGGCACACAAGCAAGCAAACACCAGCAAATTCATAACAAACGCACATGCGCCAGAAGAGAAAACAAAACGAGCCACAGCAATCAAGACAGGCTGAGGCCGAGCTGCGGCCTCGCCGACATGAAATCCGACTGCATGTCTGGTGCACAGCAAAATTGGAAAGTTTGAGGGATGCGAAAGCCAGGCGGGAGACGTATCAGGTGAGATGGGCCGAGCACGCGCGCTGCCCTCCAGAAGCAATAAAACTGAAAAGAATGCCTAAGGGGTTGTTCAATGACAATTTTGTAGGGTGCCATCGCCCATCCATCCATCCATCCCAGCAATGTTTATTCATCGCCAGAGGCATCCCATAGGTTCCCGCACTGCAGCAACAGCAACAGTACGCAGTCACTGCTCTCACGCACCGACGTTTTTTGGCGAAAGCTTTCCAAAGAACAACCTCTTACCTACACCATTTTTGAGAGAACTACTGCCAGTACATTTATGATGTCCGTATAGCTTCAACAACGCCGAAATATTGGTGCCTTATAAACGCCAACTGGGCCAAAGCATAATGAAGAAATGCAGTGGATTTCTTTCTCGGCTGGCGTATTACTGAAGTATGGGCACATACAGGGATTCAAGCAATTATAAAATTGGAGATCCACTGGTCGGGTAAGAGTGCAGTCTACGGACTGATTTTGGGTTAAACACGATTTTAAGAACTGGTTTCAGATCAAAGTGCAGTCTGAGAACTA